TGTGCTGCAAGACGTTGCTGGTCGGGCGTCGCTGAGCTCAGCAGCGATGCGACGACAGCGTCTCCGGACACCGCCACGAGGCGGTGAAGCGCTTCCCACTCCACGCGAGTGAGATGGGGGAATGCAGCATGCTCCAGGGTCGCCCCGGAGATCTGGACTTGGCTCATCGTAGACTTGGTCGTTGGAAGGACTACGAAGTGCTACCAGGTGTAACGGGGTAAGAGATACCGCTACTAGCTTACACTATAGTGCGGAGGAAGCTCGCAATAATAAAACCAAGTCTTAGGTTTGTGTCAAATTCAACTCTGATTTATTTAGAACCAGGGCGGCTACCCCTGGCCTCGTGTGAACCACTCAAACACATGTCTATATCTGATTGGTCAATAAGTGAGTCTGGCTCCTCACTATCAACCAATCAGATGATGACACTTTGGCACACGCTACCCGTGTGCCACTTTACCTACTTATGTAATAACTAAAGAAACATCTACCTACTTATGTAATTGGAGTTGGGCCCATTACACTTCGAGTGTAGAGGGGTCCGATCTTGTAAGGCAGTAGCGCGTCATGCCTTCGCGCATACCGAACACGAACACATGAACCTAAATGGCCATATCGATGGGCTTGGACACGATACCCGACGCGAGGTGTCGTTTCTTCTGGACGTAGTCGCGCATAGTCATCGTGCCTTGCCGAACGGCGAAGATGTCTGTCCGAATTCAAGATTCATCTTGCGGCGGCTCGTACGCGAGCCGAAGGTCACTCTAGAGGATATCCAGAGTGGGGAAGGCGTTGGGGTCGACGACCAACTTGCCGAGGGCCCATTCCTTATATTTCCCAGACAGCCGAGAGAGGATAAAGTGACCTTCGCGGAAGGCGCCTCGATCAACCTCGAGGCGATGGCGATGTCGATCTCTCGAAACCAACGATTCAGTGGAAGTCGGTCTTCTCCGGCACCGGAGTAGGTGGACGTCTCTAGCTTCACGACGTCATTCGTGAAGATACGCGAGGGAGTTGACACTCGCCGATTCGCATCGGCGAGCTCGCGTTCCATGAATTCTTGTGCCGTTACGCGCTGCTCGTCGGGCGTCGCTGAGCGCAGCAGCGATGTGACGATGGTTTCGCCGGGCACCGCCGCGAGGCGGTGAAGAGCTTTCCACTCGATCCGAGTGAGATGGGGGAAAGCAGCGTGGTGAGGTCTTGGCTCATGTTGAACTTGGTCATTGGAAGGACTACAAAGTGCTACCAGGTGTAAAGGGTCATGTATGTACTTCGTTACTTGCTTACACTATAGTGTTGAGGAAGCTCACAATAGGACGGCTGAGTCTTAGATCTAAGGAAAACTCAACTCTGACTTTTTAGGACCAAGGCCACAGCCTTGGCCATTCTAGTACACGTCACAGTCCAATTGGCTAATAATGGGTCTGGCTCCCCATATATTAGCCAATGGCATGACAGCATTTCACCTACTTATGAAAGGAAATATACCTACTTATGTAATGGAGGGGCCAATTACACGAGCTCTAGCGGCGAGGTGACCACTGGTACTGGCGAAGCGGACACCGGTGCGTCGGTTTCGCTGTCGGTCGCCGTCTGGAGTCAGCGTGAGCGGCTCCGGAGCTGTTGCCGTGGCGCCGCTAGCGACGCAGATGCTGGTGTCGTGGCGATCCGTGGTGGATCAAGTGGCGGCTCGAGCGTGCGCGGTGGCTCGGTGACCGTGTCGTCCGACGAGAACGGCGTGGTGAGCTTTTCCAGTGGCATTCGTCGCAGTACTCTCGGCGGAGCGATAAACGCTGATACCGGTGCTAGCACCGGCGACAGTGTGGGTGGCGGCTCGGTGAAGGTTCGCGGCGGCTCTCTTAGTGAGCCATCGGACGCGGCAGGCGCGATTTTCTTGTCTGGAGGTGCAGCCTCGACACGGGTGCTGTCACTGGTGGCAGCGTTTGGCTATATGTTGGTCTGGTGTCGGCGGCTTGTCTGGTTACTTGGCAGCGACAGCGTAAGCGTCGTGAGCGGTGTTCTTGTAAATGGTGGCGCCTCCAATGGCCCGACGACAATTAGCAGCGGTCTACCGGCTGACGCTGTGTCGGACTTTTGCAAGGCGACAGTACATGTCTGCACGTGCCCCTCGTCGTAGCGACGGGAGATGGCTTGTTTGACCTCCTCGCAACGGTTCTTCATAAGCTGCCAAGTAGGACTCTCCGCAGATGTAGAGGGCGATAGCAGCATGGCGATAGCGATCACGACGATAGGGAAAGTAGCCATGTAGCGACGTATACATATTGATTCGAGTACATTGTTTTTATGACACACATACTTTATAAAACAAAATATTGGTCACTACTTGCTTCTGCATAGATACATATAAATGGGGACTAGCTGGCACTTCAAGCTAGCCCGACCGTACGTACTATCTTGGAGCTTCCACCTTACGCAAAACGGACTCCGGCATGTACACGGTGGCGGGGATAATACAGCGACGTTGAAGCAAACAGCCGAGGCCTCGACATACGGCTGAGCTCTTCGCGTACAGCAAGCTTTGCGACTTCGTCGAACAGGAAGTCGTTGAGATAGACTATGGTTGCGTCTTGAAATAGAGTGCATGACGACAATGATACGTCCAACACGTCCCCAATCAGCACGCGAGCCTTGCGCAAATTATGTAGCTATATTTCTTTGGACCGTACGCACTTTAAGCCAGCATGAACAACCTCAGCTCTTTTCTCGATTCCAACACTGACTGACTTCGTCTGGATCGCAAACTTGGCCGCAATATTTCCCAATCCAGCCCCCACATCGAGTAAAATGGCATTTTTGCTGACAGGCCCGATCATCTGAATGATGCTGGACACTGCGGTAGGCAATAACCAGCGTTTTCATCAGTCTTCCCAGCGTCTTGGCAAATATCGGCAGCGGAAACAGTGTAATAAATGTGCTCGTTCAGCTTGGCTGGCTTGCAGAAGAGGTATCGGGGGTAGCTTAGGCGTCGTTACCGGTGGTCTTGGGAAAACGTACGGAGGAAATTGCGCCAAACCGTTTCCATAACTGCGCTTTAGCGCCCGTAGTCGTTGCTCGAGCTCCTTGGGGGGAAGGGGGTGTTTGCGGAGCTTGCCGCTGGCGAGCTTCTTCCAGTCGATGCTTTTGCCTGCAGATTCACACGCGAGCGCAAGACCTACAAGTTGTTTGTCCTCCGAGTCCGAGAAAGAAGTGCGCATCTGCAAAGTAGTATGTATTTGGAACTGAGTATGTAGATAAGTGGCCTACAGGGGATGCAACGGGCCTGTCGCTGTAGAATAAGATCGTTGTTGGTGTCTGTAAGTCACGTCTTGACGCTGCAACAGGGTTGCATTGCACGCCTCGGCACTTTCTAACCGAAAAAAGACGTTAAAACGGGTGATAAAAGTGCGACCTATTACGAAATTTGCATTACCGTTTCTCCAGTCGTGCTTAAATACTCCGATGGAGATACCTATCCCTCGCAATGGTGGATTCTAACTGGCTCACTCGCTTTAGCAACACCTCTTTGTGGCCTGGTTTGTGAAAGGAAGCATTTTGCTATCTTTCATAGGGTATTTTTCTACCGTCTTTTAAGAAATTGCTTAAACGCAGCAAAATGCTATCTTTGTACCGCGATAAGGAAAATGGTCAATATAGTAGCTTTTGCCAGTCTAGTAGCCGACCTATTTTCAGCCAATACCGTCAATGTACCCATACGGTTACTGATTTGATCTGTCAAAACTACAACTGCTCCGTCTTAGTAAAAACCTGAAGCACGTTATATCTGGGTATTTCCCGCCCATTTCCAACCCTGGCTCAATGGGAAGGCTTCGAGCACCTTATTCTGACGCAGAACTTGACGCTGCCGTTCAAGAGGTGCTTTCGAGTACCACTACGAAAACAACGAGCGACAAAACCAAGTTTCCCCATAGCACTCTTAAGTAGTACGTCGCTCTAGCTCGGAAAGGGATCCCCTGCAAGTCCAACCGCCGCGGTCCGCATTCTATGCTACCAGAACATGCAGAAGAAAGCCTCCGAGACTGGGAGCTTGGGAGGCAGCAGGTCGGGCAGCCTGTAAGCTGCCACGACCTTCTTGAGAAGGCGCAGCAGGTGGATCAGCTGGTGTGCGGCTTGTCGATGGAGGAAGGCTGGCTGCGCCGCTTGCTGGAGCGTCACTCGTCCCTCACATTAAGGACATCACAACCCCTCTCTAAGTACCGTAACGAGGTGGAAGAGCGCGATCTTGCAGTGTTGTTCTCGTCCCTAGCTAAGGTCATGATAGAGCACAAAATTGGGGCAGTACGAGTTTTTAATGTTGACGAAACCGCTCTTAGTACTACGAGGGAGCACAAGCATGTGATCGCTTCATGAAGAAGAAGAAGCGTCAAATAGACGTACCAAGGCGAGGAAACCAGTGTCGTCCAGGAAGAAGAAAGCTGGCCAGGCGCCATCGACGGAAATTGAGCCTGTGGTAGAGGCTTGGGTTTTGGCAGTAGCAGTTTATAAACTGCTTATAAATACTAAAATAGAGAAAAAAATGACTTAAGAAGGATTTACTTTCCCTAACCCTTAGCCTTCTTGGATCGATCAGACGAATCTAGCAGTTTAATGAGATTAAGTCAAATGTGGCTATTAAACAGACAAGTCCGTCAACGTAGCGCCAAATTTGCAAGCCCCACAAATGCAACAAAACTACAGCATTTAATCAGTACATGTATAAAATCACAAAAATAGCTGTGTGTCTGCTCTTTTCGATGGCGCAAGTAACGTTTCAATTAGACTATTCCTAAAGTCTTTAAAAATTACTTAAGTGGGGGGCGGATGCTAGCATTTGATATATATCGAAGCGCGATTGACTGCATTGACATTGCAAGGAGAAACCCTAGTTTGCAAGCTAATCGGGCGACTTTGTATCCAACGAGCTCCTGTTCACAAGTTTCATGAGCTTATCCTGCTTGTTTTTCAAATATTCATCGGTGTATTCGACAAATCTAAATTGAAAAGAAACAAAATACTTGAATTTTTTAGTTAACTGTCCATGTCACTCATTCGACACGAGGAAACTCGACCATGTACCGTGTTCTGGGATCTACGGTATACTTCCTTACATTCTTTTGCATCTCGTCACGGTGGTGGCCTGACAGACGTCTCATCACTTGGTACGCCAACTCTCGATCAGCCAGCAGTTGCTCATCCGACTTCCTCCCGATCTGAGCGATCATCCACGCGCCATCCAACGCACTTAAGAAGCCACGACACGTGCCGACCCCTTCATGCCACACGGGCTCCAGCAACGAGTCTCCCACCAATCCGACGTAGAGTTTCTTGCCGTGTGACGAGACGACGCTCGCTGCCTGCTCCGCTCTCATTAGTGAAGTAAAGTCGAACAGACTGACGCGAGTAAAGTCCGTTCTTCGTGGGATCCCTGCAAAGTCGATGATCCGCTTGATGAAGGCGTGCAATACACTGTGATTAATGTTGTCGTTTTTGACCAGATCCTTTGAGTTGGAATAATTCTGTTTAACCACTCCACGAGCTAAAAGGTTATTCCGCTTGGGGGTCATCACCAGATAGTGCATTTCTCCTCGGAAGTACACGATGTTCTCCAGATCCACTCCAATCTCACGCATCTTGTTCAACATGTGGTGTTTGAGCTGAGTTGTCCATGAGAACTCCTTCACTTTGGTCTCCTCCAGTGTCTCCAGGTTGGGGAAATAGCAGACGATCCCCAGAGATTCCTTCTGAGAGAACACGAAGCGGTTGATACCTGCAGGAGCTGCCAGCTGGTCGTTGACCCCCGTGGCCCCAAGGACAGCAGTAACCTCAGCCACGGGGATCTGCGGCTCTGTCTTGATGCTGTAGAATGGGTTGCCACTCTTGTCCGACGAAGGAGCGACAATCGACTCGAAACTCGTAGCAGAGTGCACCTTAACGCCCACCAACAGAGCCACTTTAAGTACGATGATCTGCAGTTGTCTGGTGCTCACGTGGAAGTACGTTTTGGACCTACAGAAGTTCTTGAACAGGACCTTCGCTCCCAACGACGCCAGGTCCTGGACTACCCATGGCCACAGATGTAGTCTGTTCTCTCGACTGAACTTGGTTCTCTTCTCCAGTACAGACACGTGTCCTCCAAGAAGAGCCACCTCCACCGCTGCACGTAAGCCCACAGGTCCGGCTCCGACGATACACACGCGTTTGTTAGCGGCATATCGTTGCTTGTAGACGTCGACATTGAAGCGTGCGTCCAGCAGTCGGAAGAGCTGCTTCTGACGGAAGCCTAGTCGGCTGTACACTGCGTTGCGGATGTGGAAGTAGACATGCCACGGCTCTTGCATCTTGGCTCCGTTAAGGCCACAGTCTGCTACTAAATTGTTGAAAGCTGCTAGCGTTTCACACAGATCTTGAGCTGCGATGAACGTCTTAAAAGAACTACGAACACCTGGAGCCACCATGATGCGAGGGTTGGCGACGGCGTACGTGGACTGGTGACTCTCACTCCCGTACTCACTCGAGTCGTGGGTACTTGACAGGCGACGAGATGTGTGTTTCAGTCGTCGAGCCGCTTCCTCCTTCAAGATCTCGTCGATCATCGTCAAGTGAGAAGTGATTCGAGCGATCGACATGTCTGATAACTCAGTCGTTCGACACGAAATGTTTATGCGCTCCAGAGTCGCCAGTAACACCAACTGAGCCGGTGTGACAGGGAACGGAGACGACGGTGGGAGTGGAGCTGGACTGCGATGAAGGAAGCGCGCAATCTTGTTCCCCGGTTGGCCCGCGAACGTGTGCGGAGAGTCTCTGGCTTCCGAGGACGAACTGCTCTTACTGTACACGTCTTCGGCTCCCGATCGTGCCAAGAGATCCAGCAACTTGACTGTGTCATAGCCGGCAGTCTCCACTGGAACGACTGGTTTGTTTCGGGTCGCCGCCTTCTCTTCTTCCTCGACTAAAAGACGTCTCACTTTCTGCCACGCTTTCTCCTTGCCCGGACGTTGAAGCAAAGCATGTTCCTCTTCAATCTGATCCAACGGAACCAAATCGACGTCCAGAGGCTTGACCGCCGCGGCTTGCCGACTAGTCGAATGATACTGATGCACTGAAGATCTAGGCCCGTCACTGTAGAAGCCACTGTCTTCACTGTCTGAGGTGTCACTGTCGTCTTCTTTGTAAATGTCGTCAAGATACTTTTCGCCTACATCGATCGCCAAGTAGTCGAGTAGGCGACGACCGTGCGAATGTTTCTTCTGAGGTGCACCTTCTCCTTCTTCTTCCTTAAACTGGTCTAGAGCATCCACACCGTCAGGATCGATGAGACCTTCGCCGATGTACGCGTCGTGGTCGCCCAAGCTGCTTCGACGCTCGAATGAGTCGCGGAGTCCAACGTTTTGTCGGTTGTGAAGCTTGTGCAGATTGTGGTGACCAGCAAATGCAGACGGCGTATGCGCCGTAAGTGTCGCCATTTTTCAGCGATAACTTGGGAGTGAGGAGCTTGCCGAGAGCACTGCAAAATGGAGACTGAGCAGGGAACGGCACACCCGCACCCACCCCGAAATGACGAGCCATGTCGCTTTCCTGTTAAACCCGCACCTTCTTAGGCTTGGGCGTGCCTTGGCTGACGGCACACGCGAATCTCTGGAAGATTGACTTGCTCCACGTGGGTCCCAACTTCCTTGCACATGGATTTGTAGCTAGCTCTCCAGTTCAAAATCTCTTTTTTTCGACGTTTAACAACCACGGGATTGTTGATCTTAGCGGACGCCGTCGTAGCGGGAAAGCCTCACATGTTCAATCATCATTTTCGTGCTGTTGGTCCACCCTTTGATACGGCCTGTACGAACTAATTACGAAACCATTTTGGCGTGATCTTGAATAAATCATAAGCTTGCAATAAATCCTAAATTATAAAACGATTTACGTACTGGCAGCGCTGTGAAATCAGATTATTTCGTACTTTATATTTGTTTTGCTTTAGCGCTCTCCTCTTATAGTATAATAGTGAGTTTCATTACAACCGGGTTAAATGACGCTAAATCTGCCACACTGAGCACTTCAACATGGCCCTCCACTTGACACAGTGACAGCCTGCGATGAGCTGGTTTCCGTAGAAGCAACCCACGTGCCAAGGTTTTTAGCCATGCTCAACGTTGAGCACCTCACTGCTTCGTGGTTGGCGATGATGGCCTCATGAATCGTGCATACGATCGCTGGCGCACTTCCAGAAGCAGTCGATGGTCGATGTCACGGCTATTTTGACGCTGGACTGAAAAAAAGGATAACTTACGCGTAAGTACCACTTGTGGATTTTCTTCGGCGAAAACCCAGAAATGTTTTTTTAAATCAAGAAGTTACTGATACAACGCCACAGTGGACTAATGAATGGTCATCAAATACGCATTCCAAGCGCTGGATTCCTACAGAACTCGAGGGAAATCGACAAAGTAGCGCGATCTCGGCTCCACCGTGTACTTCCTCACGTTCTTCTGCAGCTCGTCGCGGTGGTGACCGGACACACGCTGCATGACTCGGTAGGCCAACTCCCGGTCAGCGAGAAGCTGCTCGTCCGATTTTCTTCCGATCTGAGCCACCATCCACACGGCATCCAGCGCACCTAAGAAACCTCGACAAGTACCGACCCCTTCGTGCCACACTGGCTCTAGCAACGAGTCTCCGATCAACCCAACGTAGAGTTTCTTGTCATGCGAAGTCAAAACGCTCGCAGACTTCTCAGCACGAGTGAGTGAGCTAAAATCGAATAGGTTAACCCTCGTGAAGTCCGTCTTCCTCGGAATACCCGCGAACGCGACTACCCGCTTGACGAATGCATGTAGACCGCTTTGACTGATGTTGGTACGCTCCACCAAATCCCTCGAATTGGAATAATTCTGCTTCACTACTCCTCGAGTCAACAAGTTCCGTCTCCTCGGGGTCATGACCAGATAGTGCATTTCCCCTCGGAAGTACATGATGTTCTCCAGGTCGATGCCAACTTCCCGCATCTTGTACAACATGCGATGCTTGAGTTGCGCAGTCCACGAGAATTCGTCGACTTTCATCTCCTCTGGTGTCTCTAAGTTCGGGAAGTAGCAGACAATGCCCAGAAATTCCTTCTGAGAGAACACAGAGCGATTAATTCCTGCAGGTTCGGCCACCTGGTCATTGATACCAGAAGCACCCAGCACGGCAGTGTACTCCACGACGGGGATCTGAGGCTCCGTCTTGATGCTGTAGAATGGATTCCCGTCGTTTGCTGGCGTAGGAGCGACAATCGACTCGAAGCCAGTAGCAGAGTACACTTTGACGCCAAGTAACAGAGCCACTTTGAGTAAAATGACTTGGAGTTGTCGTGTGCTGACATGGAAGTATGTTCTTGATTTGCAGAAGTTCTTAAACAGAACCTTCGCTCCCAATGACGCAAGATCCTGGACCACCCAAGGCCACAAATGTAGTCTGTTCTCTCGACTGAACTTGGCCCTCTTCTCGAGGACCGACACTCTACCGCCTAGTAGAGCCATCTCTACTGCAGCGCGTAGACCCACGGGTCCAGCCCCAACGATACACACCCGTTTGTTCGTAGCAGATCGTGGCTTGTACGCGTCGAGATTGAGTCGTGCATCAAGCAATCGGAAGAGCTGCTTCTGACGGAACCCCAACGTGTTGTAGACGGCAGATCGGACGTGGTAGTAGATGCGCCACGGCTCGTTCATGTTCACTTCATTGAGACCACAACTCGCCAATAGATTGTTGAACGCTGCCAGAGTTTCACATAGATCTTGTGCGGAGACGAACGCTTTGAACGATGAGCGAGCGGATGACAGAGCTGGATACCTCGGGTCGTAGCCACTCGACTTATTCGATCTTTGAGTGCAAGATACGCGTCGAAACCCACTCCTGGTTGCGTCTTCTTGAACGATCCGGTCGATTGATGCCAAGTGCGAGGCGATTCGAGTAATCGCCCCATCTGAGAGTTCATTTTGTTGACAACTTTTGGTTACTCGCCCTAATGACGTCAACAGCCAACGACTGGAGCGACTGTCTTCGTGGGATGACGCCTGCGAGACGTAAGATCTCGTGATATCCGACTCTTTGTCGTCGTTAGCAGGTTTACGCTGCCAGAAATGGACTAGTCTGTTCCCCATGCGGTCGAACCGACTTGCAAAGGTTCGAGGCGGATACTGCACCTCGTTTCTTGCCACGTCGGAGGACGCACTGCTGCTGCTGTAGAGGTCCTCAACGCCAGACCCAGCCAAGATATCCAGTAGTTTAACCGTGTTTGTTTCCCCACTCTGTTGAGAGGAATCGTCACGATAACTCAGTGCCCGTTGTGTGCGTGGGTTGCTCCGCTTCTCTTCTTCCTCGACCAAGTGCTGTCTCTCTCTCTAACAAGCCAAGTTCTTCTTGCCGCTCTGAGCATGGGGTCTTGTTGGATCAGCTTCGTAGCTTTCAGTACCGTCGGCGTCGTCTTCGCGGTAGATTTCGTCGAGGTATTTTTCGCCCACGTCGATTGCCAGTGAGTCCAGCAGACTACGACGGTAGTGCTGCTGAGCGTTGTGGCGAGTTTCGACATCACTGAGACGGTCCAGTCCATTGTCATCTTGATCATCCAGGATACTGATACGTCTTTTCAAGTCTGTGTGGACTGGTGGCCCGCGCTCCACCTTTGGGATGCTGTGCTTGATGGAGAAGACTGGGATAGCAGGCACGGTCGATTGAGCTAACGTCGCCATTTGACTCCTGGTAGTTGACACACCGCCGCAAAATCAAAACTGGATCATACCTCCACGCCGCGCCACGTTAGCGTGTCTTTACCTCTCGCAAGAGTGAATACATGTAGTACGCACGCCGTAACGTTTTCGTTAATGTTAATCTTGTTTGCTTAGCCTTAGACCCGACTCGCCTTACGACTCATCAGTGTCATTAATGAACATTTCGAAGGTATTTGGTATCCAATACTTCGAAGTTTCTTGACTGAATTCCCTCGTTAACCACGTGAGACTTTTCCCTTAGCATCAGTGCATTACAGTGCAGCTATTTTACACGGCAATCATGTGACAGCAAGCCTTAATGCGGATCCCACCTCTACACAACCCCGATGGTTGGCTCACCGCGAAAAGTAAATTCACGGGGTACGTGTATTAATAGTCCACTGTGGCAGGAATTTTTTTCCCGCACGGAAGGTTTATCAGGTCAGCGTTGCTGAGACCGCCTGCTCCACCATCCCTTGCCTTTTGAATCAAAAGGTTTGACTGTAGGAAAGCCATTTGTTCTTCCCTGCCAAAATTGATTTTAATGGTGAAGAAAAGAGAAAGCGACTGCCCTCCATTGCACACAAAAAAAAGGATGACAAAAAACAATAATATATGAATTTCTTTAACTCAGTACAAATTTAATTTATGTACTGAGTTGACCCGATTGCGCTGACCGAAATAGCAATTAATAGCAATATTACATGAATTATTAATAATACACGAAGCATTATCTTAACCTACATGTACTGCGATAATATTTTCCATCATCCAAAGTGATGCGTGGTGGCGCGCGCAAAAACAATAAAAAAAGAGAACCGTGGATCGAAAACTCTCTGCCCCCACCACTTGCTACTTCGAAGTATAATAATATATAATTTGTTGTGCCGGTACTGGCCGTTTGAGCATGAAGGCAAGCAATCCTCTTAGTTCTGAGCTACAGCAGATACGATTTGTCGGAGGCACCTTCCGAAGCGGCACTTTTCATGAAATGGGCGGTTGGTGTCACTTTGAATCCACCATATTGAGAAAGGTCTCCAGCGTCTCTTGGGTATGCTAGTCGACGGCTGTGAGCCGTTCATCACTTACCGAGATCTTCATCAACAAAGATCCGGTCTCCGATGCCTCTAGTGCTATCGTCACAGTTCGACTTGTTCGCGAGCATAACAACGCTCGAAGGATTTCCATGATGAGGGCAGAACGTGGGGAGGAGGCGGCGATGCTGCTGTCCGCGTATCAGCAAGCGGCGCAGCGAGACGCTACTGCAATGAGGCAGCGTCGTCGAACTCTACGTACTTTGATTGGTGTCATCGGTACCGTCGCTCTTTTCGTTGGGTGCATCGCTGTAGTCGACGTGATGGCGATGAGTGGCAATGGAGTTGACACTATGACACTTGAAATCTCTACCGAGGATGAGGCTATCCAGATGGAGTCGCAGTTTGGCTGGAACTCCATTGGCTACGGCTGGTGCTCGCTCAAGTCGTCGACGTGGTGCATGTTCAGTAAGGACAAGGACAAGTGCAAGGAGAACATCGACTGCTACAAGACGCGCACCCAGGCAGGAACGCAAGGCGCTGGAAGTGGCAGTGGAGACTTTGGTAACGCCACGGTGGGAGATTGGTCTTCTGACGATGAGGTGAAAACTCCGTCGAGTGGAGAGAGTGAAGAGGAAGGCGGAGGAGATGACACGACCGGAGGCGTAGAGACCGAGGAGAGAGGAGGAGAAGACGCGACGGAGGGAGATGTGAGTGGGAGTGGAAGCGGGAGTGGAAGCGAGGAAGAACCGCGGATGGGGGGAGAAGACTAAGAAGGATTTCCTGTGTGATAGGAGAGAAAAGGTATGTTTGCAGCCTTCAACCTAATAATTTCAATCTCCCTATCGTTTTATTTCTTTGCCAATATGGTAGTACTCCAGTGGTATTGTGGTAACGTTAGTCGAGATTTGGAGCTAAATGGGAAGCAACTAGCAGTTGAGCTTAACGACAATTTTAAAGTACCGACAATATTTTACTGATAGTACCAGTGACGCTCTATTTGTTGAGTTAGCTATAGAGTTCTGAAGTTGCTGGAGGCTGTTGCCCAATGTCTTGATTTCAGATTTATCCCGAGAGGCCGTAGAAGCTGGATGCTTGGCATCTACAATCTACTCCATGTACGTGGAAATCTCAATCGCATCTTTGAGATCGGAGTACTCGTGGTACGACTCGCGACACATAGATTTAAATTGGGGATGCGCGCGGACATATTCCAGGTAGTCGTTGACATCAGCAAAGACGACATTGTCGGCCATCACGATGGATCCCTGGATACAAAACACGTCAGCAGCTTTCACTAATATCCACATGTCGTCAAAATCTCTTACCGATCGAAGTAAACCGCTCCGCTCGATGATCGCCAAGTCGCTCTTGTAGAGTTTCTTGTCGTGGTCGATGAAGAACGCCTACAAATATTCGAGACTAACGTTAGTACAAGATGTGAAATTCGTGAAGTCCTGTCTCTGCTAACGTACATCGACTTGGTCGACATCTTGCTCCTTGAGCTTGTTGTAGTTGTCTCCGTACGTCCCAACTATGATCGTCACCATGTCCGAAAGCCCAGCGAATTCGATCATCTGTAAATAATCCTCGTCACTCTACAGCTGTACCCATGATAATTAACACCGTTCACTATACGTTGGTGGCAATGGCCGCGAAATCCGGTGAGATCTCGAAGGAGCAAACATGGGCAGATGGACCAGAAAGCTCACGCATTTTGCTGGCAAAGCGCAGAGCACTGTAACCGAGGTGTCCACCAAGCTCCACCAAAATCTAAACCCAGGTGTGCAGAGTTAGGTACGATGTGACTACTGTGCTGGAAAGAAGTAACAAACCTTTGGCTTGACTTTCTCTAATTCCTCATCCAGAATCTCTCCCTTGACATCGCCGACATTCATCATCCAGTGATGTTCGTAGCCGAAGGTATCGATCGCTGCCACAACTGACTGAGGGTTGCCCTTTTTGGCATTTTTGTGTACGAATGACAAGCACTTTTCACCACTCCATAATCACATCTGCGGTTAGATACAAAGGTGAGCCAAGATAAGATGCACGCTAAATACGTACATGAGCACGAGTTGGTCGTAGGGAGGAGGTCCTGGCTTGGTGGTGGCAACTCGGGGAGGCATCTTTGTTGGGTGTGGAATTTAAAACTGAGGAGGAAAGAAAGAGTCATCTTGTGTGAGCTAGGTACCAGTAACGTCATCCTTCCCATCCCGTAATGAATCGTACAGTGCAACTTGCATCATAAACGTTTGCGTGCGGCACGCAATCCATGCTGACGCTAAACTTGGTCCACCATTTTGTATGATGATACCACATTTCACTGTTACTTGTATCTCACGTGAAAAGAGTTCAAAGGACAGACGATAGTGAGGATACATGTAGTGCCACATGTAGTAAGAACAAACGACGTCTACTGACAGGACACATCATTGTTGTTGCTGCAAAGTATCATCAACGTAAAAAAAGAAAAAAAATATGTGTAGCACGGACCGTGATCACGCCGTAGACGTACCGATTGCGTTAAGACCGGCATTTTCACTAGACATAATCGTTACCTCCACTAATACACACTACCACAACATTATCGGTTGCAGAAGACACGATTTTTTTTAAATTTATTTTATCTATACGTTACAGGTGATGTCATAGCCAAGATAAAGCTTTTCTGGCTTACAAACGCATCTTCAACGTAAATGGTTTGAAGCTTACTGGTAATGAGTGCTGCATCAGGCCACCGATCACTAGAACGATGACCAGGATTACAACCAGTTATGGTTTCAGGGTCGCTGCTTGTATTGAACTCTGGTAATCACTATGTTGTACAAGCACGTGTAACCTTTGTCGTTCCTTGCCTACTAATGTAAGTAACAAATCGAAGTGCCAGCTATGGAGTGGGGACAAAGTTTTGTCTAGTGGGAATGACACTCCGGAAAACTAGCCTGCAATTAAGTAAATGCCAAATTGTTTTCGCCAAAAGAGTCTACTCGCCAGCGAATCCAATCAACATAAAGTTCCCACCCGTGCGCCTCGCTCAGGCACTCCGACCACTGATCATACACGACATCTACCGTACTCTCATCCACTTCTGTCCATATGCAGTTCTCTCCTCCTTGAAAAACCCACTTGACGTCACTCTGCGATCCTGCCGCTTCTCGACTGCGTGCGTTTGCTTCAGAGTCCACGATCATGATGCAGTGCTTAGCCATCTGTCTCCCATCTGGGAGTACTGACACCCTGTTTTGCACGGCAGCGATGTACCGAAGATGGACGTCGCCTGGAATGTTCCACACCACAACACCGTCTTGCTTCACAAACTTCTGAAGTGGTTGGCAGTAGGAATCACCGCGCTGCTCAAGCCCCCAGCTCCGAGGTGAAATAATTTTTGGTCACTGACTGATGTCGATACGTCCTAAAGTCTGGCAAGCTTCTGGCAGCGAGCAACGAAGGCGTTTCGAGAATCGTGCATGCGCTATCGTAGTGCCCGACGCTTGTTGAAACGGCGGCACGTAATCCACCGACCAGCCAAACATGTTGTCGATGAAAGAGATGAATAGGTGGCGCTCGGTAAATTCAACCTCGCGCTGTTTCAACTTGTCCAGGTACTCGTCCTCGGGAATCGGATGGAAGAAGAATGGCGGCTCTCCATTCGGGAAGTGCACCCACCACCCTTCGCTGTCTAAAGCGAGTTGACTCGAGGTCGCCTTTACCTTGGACACTTGGTGTAGCTCGCGTCTAAACTGGTCTGTTTCGCGCTTGAGCTTGGTTCCCAATTTCGAGGTGACGGGTAATCGCATCTTGCAGGTTGTAGAATTGTCTCTATGCAGGCGCGCCCCTCTTCGATCGTAACTCGGTACAAGGCTGCACTCGTGGATTCTGGAGATAGCTGATGCAGAGTCGTTTGTGCCTATAAAGGAGCTGCTCAAGACATTTGCAGACGCTGTATCTCGTCACGGATGGTAGCAGCTTTTGCTTTCGTTGGTGGCGCCAGCGCATCATACGTCGCGCTGCACTTTGAGGCGAAACTGCTGACTTTTTAAAGCCTCCAAGGCCGTCTCGATTAGGTTGGCATGGTCTGAGTACTCCATGGTTCAAGTTTGTAGAGTGGTGTTGAGCAGTTTGATGAACAATGGCGAATAACTTGACGAATGACAAGTAAAAAAAACATTGACGTTAATAATAGGTCACTACAAGAGCAATAACGCAAATTGGGATGTCATGGACCGTCTCACTTGACTCGGATGGTAAGTCCGTGATGTCCGCTGAAGTCATGCCAGGATGCGTTATGTCGTCCACGTTCTGTAACAGACGGGAGAGAAGAGGAATGGAGGCCAACATTTCGTTATCATTTTTTGTTTATTACATGAATGAATGTCAGTGTTTTGGGAGAGAGGAGTCGTCGGTGAGTAATAAACGTTAGAGGATGCGTATACGCATGTTTCACCATACCGGTATAGCAAAGTAGGTAAGAAAAAATAGCAAGCATCATTTCCTGAAGCAAACCCTACATTTTCTCACGTTTAACTTCTAGCAACAATAAGAGGGCTCATACAAAAAGCGTAAGAAACGGATGACCTCTTCATTTGATTACCATCGAGTAACATTTAATTCATGAATTCACTGAGCGCCAACAATGACACCAGAGACTGAAGCCGGAATTCGCTTAGCATACGAGACGAGCCGAGCCCAACATCGGTATTTCGTGGGCTCTATATTAGCCGGATCACTTAGAGTAGCCAATCAACAAGCTCTATTTGAGTACTGAGCCGATTTTTTTTTAGTGGAGCCGGGCTCTCGAAGATAGCGGGCTTGTTAGCAAATCGGGGGCCCGGACTGGGGCTTGAAAGGAAGTATGTCATTCGATTAGCAGACGCAACACAATGTTGCGGGTTCTACTTTAAATTTGGATGATCGAGTCGAGGGCGAATCAATCATATAGAATATCTTAGGCGATATTATAATGGTGTTTTCGACTTCCTGTCAGCTCATGCCAAGATCATATGGGTACGTTTTCTATAATAAACGCTGTTGATGTGAGTTGGCGACTGAATGAACCATTCCTGTACTTCACGCTCCTAAATAAAACCGGAATTGACAGCTAGGTCGTCTGCGACCTCCACTCGGAATGCGTATACAGCTTTTTTTTTCGAATTGGGCGCTGTTTTCTTTTCAAGTTTTGGTAGGTTTAATTTAATTTATGAAAGTCTTTCCCGTGGCTGTATAACTATCAATGGACTCATCATGTATATCAACGGGCTCATCATGTATGCTGACTAGCAGAAATTCAAGCTATTGTACATGTATATAATTCGTTTAGAATGGTATTTTACGAAAGTGTATACGTTGAATTGAGCAAGGGTTTAATAAGGCGGAGATGTTCCGCCTGACCTTCGGCCTTGGGGAAGGATTCTGGCTGTACCGGTACAGATAGGAGGAATGTAGAATGAAGTGTTTGACAATTTGGCAGAACCCATTAGACGCTGCTCTTGTTCGTTGGCTGGGCTACTACTTCAATCTACGCTTCGTTAGGCTTGGTCGGCTTACCGGACGAATATGAGAACATCTGTATGAATGACACTCTGGGAAACTAGTAAGTAAATGCCAAATTGTATATTTTTCAGAAGGTATCTCGCCAAAAGAGTCTACTCGCCTCTTTTTGTCTATTTCTGAAGCAAACGGGTCGGTGCAATGTGTTCCTCCATACAAAGCACGAAGCGAATCCAATCAACATAAAGTTCCCACCCGTGCGCCTCGCTCAGGCACTCCGACCACTGATCATACACGACATCTACCGTACTCTCATCCACTTCTGTCCATATGCAGTTCTCTCCTCCTTGAAAAACCCACTTGACGTCACTCTGCGATCCTGCCGCTTCTCGACTGCGTGCGTTTGCTTCAGAGTCCACGATCATGATGCAGTGCTTAGCCATCTGTCTCCCATCTGGGAGTACTGACACCCTGTTTTGCACGGCAGCGATGTACCGAAGATGGACGTCGCCTGGAATGTTCCACACCACAACACCGTCTTGCTTCACAAACTTCTGAAGTGGTTGGCAGTAGGAATCACCGCGCTGCTCAAGCCCCCAGCTCCGAGGTGAAATAATTCTTGGCCACTGACTGATGTCGATACGTTCTAAAGTCTGGCAAGCTTCTGGCAGCGAGCAACGAAGGCGTTTCGAGAATCGTGCATGCGCTATCGTAGTGCCCGACGCTTGTTGAAACGGCGGCACGTAATCCACCGACCAGCCAAACATGTTGCCGATGAAAGAGGTGAATAGGTGGCGCTCGGTAAATTCAACCTCGCGCTGTTTCAACTTGTCCAGGTACTCGTCCTCGGGAATCGGATGGAAGAAGAATGGCGGCTCTCCATTCGGGAAGTGCACCCACCACCCTTCGCTGTCTAAAGCGAGTTGACTCGAGGTCGCCTTTACCTTGGACACTTGGTGTAGTTCGCGTCTAAACTGGTCTGTTTCGCGCTTTAGCTTGGTTTCAATTTCGAGGTGACGGGTAATCGCATCTTGCAGCTGTAGATTTTCTCTATGCAGCGGCGCCCTCTCGATCGTAGCTCGGTACAAGGCTACACTCGTGGATTCTGGCGATAGCTGATGCAGTGTCGTTTGTGCCTTATAAAGGAGCTGCTCCAATACATTTTCCAGACGCTGTATCTCGTCACGGATGGTAGCCAGCTTTTCCTTTCGTCGGTGGCGCCAGCGCACCATACGTCGGCGCTGCACTTTGAGGCGCAGCTGTTGACTTTTAAAGCCTCCAAGGCCGTCTCGATTAGGTTGGCATGGTCTGAGTACTCCATGGTTCAAGTTTGTAGAGTGGTGTTGAGCAGTTTGATGAACAGTGGCGGATAACTTGACGAATGACAAGTAAACAAGACATTGACGTTAATAATAGGTCACTACAAGTGCAATAACGCAAATTGGGATGTCATGGACCGTCTCACTTGACTCGGATGGTAAGTCCGTGATGTCGACTGCAGTCATGCCAGGATGCGTTATGTCGTCCACGTTCTGTAACAGACGGGAGAGAAGAGGAATGGAGGCCAACATTTCGTTATCATTTTTTGTTTATTACATGAATGAATGTCAGTGTTTTGGGAGAGAGGAGTCGTCGGTGAGTAATAAACGTTAGAGGATGCGTATACGCATGTTTCACCATACCGGTATCGCAAAGTAGGTAAGAAAAAATAGCAAGCATCATTTCCTGAAGCAAACCCTACATTTTCTCACGTTTAACTTCTAGCAACAATAAGAGGGCTCATACAAAAAGCGTAAGAAACGGATGACCTCTTCATTTGATTACCATCGAGTAACATTTAATTCATGAATTCACTGAGCGCCAACAATGACACCAGAGACTGAAGCCGGAATTCGCTTAGCATACGAGACGAGCCGAGCCCAACATCGGTATTTCGTGGGCTCTATATTAATGTTGGGAGCCCGGATCACTTAGAGTAGCCAATCAACAAGCTCTATTTGAGTACTGAGCCGATTTTTTTTAGTGGAGCCGGGCTCTCGAAGATAGCGGGCTTGTTAGCAAATCGGGGGCCCGGACTGGGGCTTGAAAGGAAGTATGTCATTCGATTAGCAGACGCAACACAATGTTGCGGGTTCTACTTTAAATTTGGATGATCGAGTCGAGGGCGAAACAATCATATAGAAAATCTTAGGCGATATTATAATGGTGTTTTCGACTTCCTGTCAGCTCATGCGTTCCCAACTAGGTCGTCTGCGACCTCCACTCGGAATGCAGATACAGCTTTTTTTTCGAATTAAGCGCTGTTTTCTTTTCAAGTTTTGATAGGTTTAATTTAATTTATGAAAAGTCTTTCCCGTGGCTGTATAACTATCAATGGACTCATCATGTATATCAACGGGCTCATCATGTATGCTGACTAGCAGAAATTCAAGCTATTGTACATGTATATAATTCGTTTAGAATGGTATTTTACGAAAGTGTATACGTTGAATTGAGCAAAGGTTTAAAAAGGCGGAGATGTTCCGCCTGACCTTCGGCCTTGGGGAAGGATTCTGGCTGTACCGGTACAGAGAGGAGGAATGTAGAATGAAGTGTTTGACAATTTGGCAGAACCCATTAGACGCTGCTCTTGTTCGTTGGCTGGGCTACTACTTCAATCTACGCTTCGTTAGGCTTGGTCGGCTTACCGGACGAATATGAGAACATCTGTATGAATGACACTCTGGGAAACTAGTAAGTAAATGCCAAATTGTATATTTTTCAGAAGGTATCTCGCCAAAAGAGTCTACTCGCCTCTTTTTGTCTATTTCTGAAGCAAACGGGTCGGTGCAATGTGTTCCTCCATACAAAGCACGAAGCGAATCCAATCAACATAAAGTTCCCACCCGTGCGCCTCGCTCAGGCACTCCGACCACTGATCATACACGACATCTACCGTACTCTCATCCACTTCTGTCCATATGCAGTTCTCTCCTCCTTGAAAAACCCACTTGACGTCACTCTGCGATCCTGCCGCTTCTCGTGCGTTTGCTTCAGAGTCCACGATCATGATGCAGTGCTTAGCCATCTGTCTCCCATCTGGGAGTACTGACACCCTGTTTTGCACGGCAGCGATGTACCGAAGATGAACGTCGCCTGGAATGTTCCACACCACAACACCGTCTTGCTTCACAAACTTCTGAAGTGGTTGGCAGTAGGAATCACCGCGCTGCTCAAGCCCCCAGCTCCGAGGTGAAATAATTCTTGGCCACTGACTGATGTCGATACGTTCTAAAGTCTGGCAAGCTTCTGGCAGCGAGCAACGAAGGCGTTTCGAGAATCGTGCATGCGCTATCGTAGTGCCCGACGCTTGTTGAAACGGCGGCACGTAATCCACTGACCAGCCAAACATGTTGTCGATGAAAGAGATGAATAGGTGGCGCTCGGTAAATTCAACCTCGCGCTGTTTCAACTTGTCCAGGTACTCGTCCTCGGGAATCGGATGGAAGAAGAATGGCGGCTCTCCATTCGGGAAGTGCACCCACCACCCTTCGCTGTCTAAAGCGAGTTGACTCGAGGTCGCCTTTACCTTGGACACTTGGTGTAGTTCGCGTCTAAACTGGTCTGTTTCGCGCTTTAGCTTGGTTTCAATTTCGAGGTGACGGGTAATCGCATCTTGCAGCTGTAGAATTTCTCTATGCAGCGCCGCCCTCTCGATCGTAACTCGGTACAAGGCTACACTCGTGGATTCTGGAGATAGCTGATGCAGTGTCGTTTGTGCCTTATAAAGGAGCTGCTCCAAGACATTTTCCAGACGCTGTATCTCGTCACGGATGGTAGCCAGCGTTTCCTTTCGTCGGTGGCGCCAGCGCACCATACGTCGGCGCTGCACTTTGAGGCGCAACAGTTGACTTTTAAAGCCTCCAAGGCCGTCTCGATTAGGTTGGCATGGTCTGAGTACTCCATGGTTCAAGTTTGCAGAGTGGTTGAGCAGTTTGATGAACAATGGCGGAGAACTTGACGAATGACAAGTAAAAAAAACATTGACGTTAATAATAGGTCACTACAAGAGCAATAACGCAAATTGGGATGTCATGGACTGTCTGACTTGACTCGAATGGTAAGTCCGTGATGTCGACTGCAGTCATGCCAGGATGCGTTATGTCGTCCACGTTCTGTAACAGACGGGAGATAAGAGGAATGGAGGCCAACATTTCGTTATCATTTTTTGCTTATTACATGAATGAATGTCAGTGTTTTGGGAGAGAGGAGTCGTCGGTGAGTAATAAACGCTAGAGGATGCGTATACGCATGTTTCACCATACCGGTATAGCAAAGTACGTAAGAAAGAAAAGCAAGCATCATTTACTGAAGCAAACCCTACATTTTCTCACGTTTAACTTCTAGCAACAATAGGAGGGCTCATACAAAAAGCGTAAGAAACGGATGACCTCTTCATTTGATTACCATCGAGTAACATTTAATTCATGAATTCACTGAGCGCCAAGAATGACAAGAATGACACCAGAGACTGAAGCCGGAATTCGCTTAGCATACGAGACGAGCCGAGCCCAACATCGGTATTTCGTGGGCTCTATATTAATGTTGGGAGCCCGGATCAGTTGGAGTAGCCAATCAACAAGCTCTATTTGAGTACTGAGCCGCTTTTATTTTAGTGGAGCCGGGCTCTCGAAGATAGCGGGCTTGTTAGCAAATCGGGGGCCCGGACTGGGGCTTGAAATGAAGTATGTCGTTCGATAGCAAACGCAACACAATGTTGTGGGTTCTACTTTAAATTTGGATGATCGAGTCGAGGGCGAATCAATCATATAGAATATCTTAGGCGATATTATAATGGTGTTTTCGACTTCCTGTCAGCTCATGCGTTCCCAACTAGGTCGTCTGCGACCTCCACTCGGAAGCGGATACAGCTTTTTTTTTCGAATTAAGCGCTGTTTTCTTTTCAAGTTTTGATAGGTTTAATTTAATTTATGAAAAGTCTTTCCCGTGGCTGTATAACTATCAATGGACTCATCATGTATATCAACGGGGTCATCATGTATGCTGACTAGCAGAAATTCAAGCTATTGTACATGTATATAATTCGTTTAGAATGGTATTTTACGAAAGTGTATACGTTGAATTGAGCAAAGGTTTAAAAAGGCGGAGATGTTCCGCCTGACCTTCGGCCTTGGGGAAGGATTCTGGCTGTACCGGTACAGAGAGGAGGAATGTAGAATGAAGTGTTTGACAATTTGGCAGAACCCATTAGACGCTGCTCTTGTTCGTTGGCTGGGCTACTACTTCAATCTACGCTTCGTTAGGCTTGGTCGGCTTACCGGACGAATATGAGAACATCTGTATGAATGACACTCTGGGAAACTAGTAAGAAAATGCCAAATTGTATATTTTTTTGAAGGTACCTCGCCGAAAGAGTCTACTCGTCTCTTTTTTGTCTATTTCTGAAGCAAACGGGTCGGTGCAATGTGTTCCTCCATACGAAGCACGAAGCGAATCCAATCAACATAAAGTTCCCGCCCGTGCGCCTCGCTCAGGCACTCCGACCACTGATCATACACGACATCTACCGTATTCTCATCCACTTCTGTCCATATGCAGTTCTCTCCTCCTTGAAAAACCCACTTGACGTCACTCTGCGATCCTGCCGCTTCTCGACTGCGTGCGTTTGCTTCAGAGTCCACGATCATGATGCAGTGCTTAGCCATCTGTCTCCCATCTGGGAGTACTGACACCCTGTTTTGCACGGCAGCGATGTACCGAAGATGGACGTCGCCTGGAATGTTCCACACCACAACACCGTCTTGCTTCACAAACTTCTGAAGTGGTTGGCAGTAGGAATCACCGCGCTGCTCAAGCCCCCAGCTCCGAGGTGAAATAATTCTTGGCCACTGACTGATGTCGATACGTTCTAAAGTCTGGCAAGCTTCTGGCAGCGAGCAACGAAGGCGTTTCGAGAATCGTGCATGCGCTATCGTAGTGCCCGACGCTTGTTGAAACGGCGGCACGTAATCCACTGACCAGCCAAACATGTTGTCGATGAAAGAGATGAATAGGTGGCGCTCGGTAAATTCAACCTCGCGCTGTTTCAACTTGTCCAGGTACTCGTCCTCGGGAATCGGATGGAAGAAGAATGGCGGCTCTCCATTCGGGAAGTGCACCCACCACCCTTCGCTGTCTAAAGCGAGTTGACTCGAGGTCGCCTTTACCTTGGACACTTGGTGTAGTTCGCGTCTAAACTGGCCTGTTTCGCGCTTGAGCTTGGTTTCAATTTCGAGGTGACGGGTAATCGCATCTTGCAGTTGTAGATTGTCTCTATGCAGCGCCGCCCTCTCGATCGTAACTCGGTACAAGGCTGCACTCGTGGATTCTGGAGATAGCTGATGCAGAGTCGTTTGTGCCTTATAAAGGAGCTGCTCCAAGACATTTTCCAGACGCTGTATCTCGTCACGGATGGTAGCCAGCTTTTCCTTTCGTTGGTGGCGCCAGCGCACCATACGTCGGCGCTGCACTTTGAGGCGAAACTGCTGACTTTTTAAAGCCTCCAAGGCCGTCTCGATTAGGTTGGCATGGTCTGAGTACTCCATGGTTCAAGTTTGTAGAGTGGTGTTGAGCAGTTTGATGAACAATGGCGAATAACTTGACGAATGACAAGTAAAAAAAACATTGACGTTAATAATAGGTCACTACAAGAGCAATAACGCAAATTGGGATGTCATGGACCGTCTCACTTGACTCGGATGGTAAGTCCGTGATGTCCGCTGAAGTCATGCCAGGATGCGTTATGTCGTCCACGTTCTGTAACAGACGGGAGATAAGAGGAATGGAGGCCAACATTTTGTTATCATTTTTTGTTTATTACATGAATGAATGTCAGTGTTTTGGGAGAGAGGAGTCGTCGGTGAGTAATAAACGTTAGAGGATGCGTATACGCATGTTTCACCATACCGGTATAGCAAAGTAGGTAAGAAAAAATAGCAAGCATCATTTCCTGAAGCAAACCCTACATTTTCTCACGTTTAACTTCTAGCAACAATAAGAGGGCTCATACAAAAAGCGTAAGAAACGGATGACCTCTTCATTTGATTACCATCGAGTAACATTTAATTCATGAATTCACTGAGCGCCAACAATGACACCAGAGACTGAAGCCGGAATTCGCTTAGCATACGAGACGAGCCGAGCCCAACATCGGTATTTCGTGGGCTCTATATTAGCCGGATCACTTAGAGTAGCCAATCAACAAGCTCTATTTGAGTACTGAGCCGATTTTTTTTAGTGGAGCCGGGCTCTCGAAGATAGCGGGCTTGTTAGCAAATCGGGGGCCCGGACTGGGGCTTGAAAGGAAGTATGTCATTCGATTAGCAGACGCAACACAATGTTGTGGGTTCTACTTTAAATTTGGATGATCGAGTCGAGGGCGAATCAATCATATAGAATATCTTAGGCGATATTATAATGGTGTTTTCGACTTCCTGTCAGCTCATGCCAAGATCATATGGGTACGTTTTCTATAATAAACGCTGTTGATGTGAGTTGGCGACTGAATGAACCATTCCTGTACTTCACGTTCCTAAATAAAACCGGAATTGACAGCTAGGTCGTCTGCGACCTCCACTCGGAATGCGTATACAGCTTTTTTTTTCGAATTGGGCGCTGTTTTCTTTTCAAGTTTTGGTAGGTTTAATTTAATTTATGAAAGTCTTTCCCGTGGCTGTATAACTATCAATGGACTCATCATGTATATCAACGGGCTCATCATGTATGCTGACTAGCAGAAATTCAAGCTATTGTACATGTATATAATTCATTTAGAATGGTATTTTACGAAAGTGTATACGTTGAATTGAGCAAAGGTTTAAAAAGGCGGAGATGTTCCGCCTGACCTTTGGCCTTGGGGAAGGATTCTGGCTGTACCGGTACAGATAGGAGGAATGTAGAATGAAGTGTTTGACAATTTGGCAGAACCCATTAGACGCTGCTCTTGTTCGTTGGCTGGGCTACTACTTCAATCTACGCTTCGTTAGGCTTGGTCGGCTTACCGGACGAATATGAGAACATCTGTATGAATGACACTCTGGGAAACTAGTAAGTAAATGCCAAATTGTATATTTTTCAGAAGGTATCTCGCCAAAAGAGTCTACTCGCCTCTTTTTGTCTATTTCTGAAGCAAACGGGTCGGTGCAATGTGTTCCTCCATACAAAGCACGAAGCGAATCCAATCAACATAAAGTTCCCACCCGTGCGCCTCGCTCAGGCACTCCGATCACTGATCATACACGACATCTACCGTACTCTCATCCACTTCTGTCCATATGCAGTTCTCTCCTCCTTGAAAAACCCACTTGACGTCACTCTGCGATCCTGCCGCTTCTCGACTGCGTGCGTTTGCTTCAGAGTCCACGATCATGATGCAGTGCTTAGCCATCTGTCTCCCATCTGGGAGTACTGACACCCTGTTTTGCACGGCAGCGATGTACCGAAGATGAACGTCGCCTGGAATGTTCCACACCACAACACCGTCTTGCTTCACAAACTTCTGAAGTGGTTGGCAGTAGGAGTCACCGCGCTGCTCAAGCCCCCAGCTCCGAGGTGAAATAATTTTTGGCCACTGACTGATGTCGATACGTCCTAAAGTCTGGCAAGCTTCTGGCAGCGAGCAACGAAGGCGTTTCGAGAATCGTGCATGCGCTATCGTAGTGCCCGACGCTTGTTGAAACGGCGGCACGTAATCCACTGACCAGCCAAACATGTTGTCGATGAAAGAGATGAATAGGTGGCGCTCGGTAAATTCAACCTCGCGCTGTTTCAACTTGTCCAGGTACTCGTCCTCGGGAATCGGATGGAAGAAGAATGGCGGCTCTCCATTCGGGAAGTGCACCCACCACCCTTCGCTGTCTAAAGCGAGTTGACTCGAGGTCGCCTTTACCTTGGACACTTGGTGTAGTTCGCGTCTAAACTGGTCTGTTTCGCGCTTGAGCTTGGTTCCAATTTCGAGGTGACGGGTAATCGCATCTTGCAGTTGTAGATTGTCTCTATGCAGCGCCGCCCTCTCGATCGTAACTCGGTACAAGGCTGCACTCGTGGATTCTGGAGATAGCTGATGCAGAGTCGTTTGTGCCTTATAAAGGAGCTGCTCCAAGACATTTTCCAGACGCTGTATCTCGTCACGGATGGTAGCCAGCTTTTCCTTTCGTTGGTGGCGCCAGCGCACCATACGTCGGCGCTGCACTTTGAGGCGAAACTGCTGACTTTTTAAAGCCTCCAAGGCCGTCTCAATTAGGTTGGCATGGTCTGAGTACTCCATGGTTCAAGTTTGTAGAGTGGTGTTGAGCAGTTTGATGAACAATGGCGAATAACTTGACGAATGACAAGTAAAAAAAACATTGACGTTAATAATAGGTCACTACAAGAGCAATAACGCAAATTGGGATGTCATGGACCGTCTCACTTGACTCGGATGGTAAGTCCGTGATGTCCGCTGAAGTCATGCCAGGATGCGTTATGTCGTCCACGTTCTGTAACAGACGGGAGATAAGAGGAATGGAGGCCAACATTTTGTTATCATTTTTTGTTTATTACATGAATGAATGTCAGTGTTTTGGGAGAGAGGAGTCGTCGGTGAGTAATAAACGTTAGAGGATGCGTATACGCATGTTTCACCATACCGGTATAGCAAAGTAGGTAAGAAAAAATAGCAAGCATCATTTCCTGAAGCAAACCCTACATTTTCTCACGTTTAACTTCTAGCAACAATAAGAGGGCTCATACAAAAAGCGTAAGAAACGGATGACCTCTTCATTAGATTACCTTCGAGTAACATTTAATCCATGAATTCACTGAGCGCCAACAATGACACCAGAGACTGAAGCCGGAATTCGCTTAGCATACGAGACGAGCCGAGCCCAACATCGGTATTTCGTGGGCTCTATATTAGCCGGATCACTTAGAGTAGCCAATCAACAAGCTCTATTTGAGTACTGAGCCGATTTTTTTTAGTGGAGCCGGGCTCTCGAAGATAGCGGGCTTGTTAGCAAATCGGGGGCCCGGACTGGGGCTTGAAAGGAAGTATGTCATTCGATTAGCAGACGCAACACAATGTTGTGGGTTCTACTTTAAATTTGGATGATCGAGTCGAGGGCGAATCAATCATATAGAATATCTTAGGCGATATTATAATGGTGTTTTCGACTTCCTGTCAGCTCATGCCAAGATCATATGGGTACGTTTTCTATAATAAACGCTGTTGATGTGAGTTGGCGACTGAATGAACCATTCCTGTACTTCACGTTCTTAAATAAAACCGGAATTGACAGCTAGGTCGTCTGCGACCTCCACTCGGAATGCGTATACAGCTTTTTTTTTCGAATTGGGCGCTGTTTTCTTTTCAAGTTTTGGTAGGTTTAATTTAATTTATGAAAGTCTTTCCCGTGGCTGTATAACTATCAATGGACTCATCATGTATATCAACGGGCTCATCATGTATGCTGACTAGCAGAAATTCAAGCTATTGTACATGTATATAATTCGTTTAGAATGGTATTTTACGAAAGTGTATACGTTGAATTGAGCAAGGGTTTAATAAGGCGGAGATGTTCCGCCTGACCTTCGGCCTTGGGGAAGGATTCTGGCTGTACCGGTACAGAGAGGAGGAATGTAGAATGAAGTGTTTGACAATTTGGCAGAACCCATTAGACGCTGCTCTTGTTCGTTGGCTGGGCTACTACTTCAATCTACGCTTCGTTAGGCTTGGTCGGCTTACCGGACGAATATGAGAACATCTGTATGAATGACACTCTGGGAAACTAGTAAGTAAATGCCAAATTGTATATTTTTCAGAAGGTATCTCGCCAAAAGAGTCTACTCGCCTCTTTTTGTCTATTTCTGAAGCAAACGGGTCGGTGCAATGTGTTCCTCCATACAAAGCACGAAGCGAATCCAATCAACATAAAGTTCCCACCCGTGCGCCTCGCTCAGGCACTCCGACCACTGATCATACACGACATCTACCGTACTCTCATCCACTTCTGTCCATATGCAGTTCTCTCCTCCTTGAAAAACCCACTTGACGTCACTCTGCGATCCTGCCGCTTCTCGTGCGTTTGCTTCAGAGTCCACGATCATGATGCAGTGCTTAGCCATCTGTCTCCCATCTGGGAGTACTGACACCCTGTTTTGCACGGCAGCGATGTACCGAAGATGGACGTCGCCTGGAATGTTGCACACCACAACACCGTCTTGCTTCACAAACTTCTGAAGTGGTTGGCAGTAGGAATCACCGCGCTGCTCAATCCCCCAGCTCCGAGGTGAAATAATTCTTGGCCACTGACTGATGTCGAGACGTTCTAAAGTCTGGCAAGCTTCTGGCAGCGAGCAACGAAGGCGTTTCGAGAATCGTGCATGCGCTATCGTAGTGCCCGACGCTTGTTGAAACGGCGGCACGTAATCCACCGACCAGCCAAACATGCTACCGATGAAAGAGATGAATAGGTGGCGCTCGGTAAATTCAACCTCGCGCTGTTTCAACTTGTCCAGGTACTCGTCCTCGGGAATCGGATGGAAGAAGAATGGCGGCTCTCCATTCGGG